TGCAGCGACACGGGAAAGACGTATCCGGAGTCCATCTTCTCTGCCACCTGCGGTAGTTGTAGATCCGGTCTCCCAAGGTGGCATTGCGGGTTTCCACAACCCGGATCTTCGGAAGAAATAAGGACGGAAAGAGGGCACGGTGAGATGCCACCCAACGCTGCAACCAGGTTCCAAGCTGAGCTTTCCAGTCTCGAACATGTAGAGGTGGAAGAAGTAGTTGTGTCATGGTAGTTGGTACCTGGAGCTGTCGCTTACGTAAAACCTGCTTCTGAGCCTTGGAGAGAAAAGGTTCATTGACAAAGGTGGAAAGCCGCAGGAAATCGTAGAGTTGGGTGGAGGGGAAAGCCGCCGATAAAAGTTCACGCATGGTCTGAAACGACGCACCTGTATTGGATCCCAACCGATACAGAGTGGAATAGTGTGCTTGGATGTCATCCAGCATCTCTGGCCGCAGTTGACGATGTAGATCAGGATGTAGTCGTCGCCGAAACCGCATGTGAAGGGATATCGACGTAGGCGAGGATAACGAATGACGCCGAAAGTCAACCAGATGTTCACGGAAACCAATTTTCCGAAGAAGTCTGTGTACCCAGGGTGCGTTTAAATGCGGGCGTAGCATGTGCTGCCATTTGCTTTCCTGGATCCAAACCGAGGAAGTAGGAAGTTTGATCTCAACTGGAGTGGCACAGAATAGCCAGTAGTTGTTAGATCGCTTCCAATAGTGAAGTGCAGGTTCAAAGAAGGCATGCTGTCCCCGCAAAAGTTGTAGATATTTGCGGCAACGGGAGTGTTCTCTGCGAAGAACATCCTGATCAGTAGCACCAATGTAATATGGGCTATGCCACGGTGAGAGTCTGATGTAGACGCAAGGCTGCTGATGGTGTCCCGGATCTTGAATGAAATCATACAGGTCCGGAAAACGAGACCGTAGGGATTTGAGGTGTTTCATATCAGCGAACGTGGAGTGCATGACTTCACACAGCAGTGACGTCTAAGGACCTCAAAGAACGGTGGCACGTACCCATGGTTCTGCAAGAAGCAAATTAGGAGATACGAAGTGATCCGACATCTGTGGAGCTCATATCTGTTGGCAACTGTGATATGGAGTGCATCGGTGTTTGAAGTGCAATCCGAACCAGGGTGAGCGCATCCAGGATGAGGTCCAACTGAGGTAAATGCTGAATCGATTCATACTCATCCGGAGGTGCCGTTGGTAGTTGAAGTCCAGGGAAGCAGTACCGCCAGCAAGCGGAGAAAAACATTAATATGTCCAGAAGAGTAGCCAAGGAGTGCCATTCTGCAACGTCCTCGAATATCCCGCTGCGCTGAAGCTCAGTCCACATGATGAATGTCGGACCAAGTGCAGCTGCAAGGTGGCGGCGACATGCATTCAAGTGTGGCAACAAGTAACAAGCAACTCACAAGACAAGACAAGCAACTCACAAGTCATGACAAGCCCCAAGTCAAGCGCAGACAAGTTTTCAAGCGCAGATCACAACGCCGCAAAGTCGCCACTCCGGGCTCATATTGAAAGGCAGATACACTTCATCCGGTGAGAAGTCGAGCTGCCACAATGAGGAGGCACAGCGCTTTGTCCGAGAGCTTGGTGGTGTAGCCTGGCTCCAGTTCCCACAAAGAGGCCATTGAAGCAAACGTAGGAGCATCACCTTTTGGCAAACGTTGGCGCGCTTGCAAGAGCTGAGCCGCGTTCCAAAGACTTGTTGCCGTTGAGACGGGACGGGTGGTTAGCTCACTTGATCAGCGATGGCACGGTAGAAGTAGCAGGAGCCTGCTTGAGGTATACTCGTGGCTGATCACTGGCCCAGGTGTAGTGCTTGATGATGTCTTCCGGCGTGCTGTGCATGGTGAGCAACTGAGGTGTTGCTTGTTTGGAAGGCAGGGAAGACAGTCCGTGAAGAGATTGGATAATCCGAGGCTGCTGTTGAGATGGAGCATCAAATGACCTGCCGTCAAGGGCCGCCGCACTTACCGTGGGTAGCGAGTTGGTAGGCGTCGAAGACTGTGAGTGATTGACCGGAGGCGG